ATTGTCTAAAATTTTTGTGCATCAGATGTTTCCCCTGAAAATGACTTAGTGCAAGTTGTTACAGGCTAGTTCAACTGCCTTATTGTGCTACAAGAAAGTGCTGTTAAAAAGCAGGCTGCTATGATTCTTTGAGCTGCAGAATATAAAAGCTACAGATCAATTTGTGCAATGCAAATATGTAAAGGGATTTTTAGGGATTTAAAAACAAATTTGATAACTGTGATCTCATAGGTGTTTGGGAATTTTTTGTAATAAAAAAGCCTTGCATGCTGCCACTTCATTTCCCCATACATTTTTTTTTTTTAAAGCTGCTGCCATTGCACTGGCCATAAATTGCAGAATAAAAGTAGAGGGGTCTGAGCTGTGTTCAGAGGTGAATTGTTTTTATAAAAATAAACATCTAACTCCCTCTTTCCAGGAAGAAAGTGGCAGTATCACTGCAAAATCAAACGTTAGGGAAAACCATCCAATTTCTAATTCCTTTTTTGGAACCTGCACATTCCTTTGTAAACTCTGGGTGACAGAATGATCACGTGTGTTATTTGTGAGACTGGAACCCTGTTTACATAGCACTTAGGGAACAGAATTTTGTTTGCAATGGAAAAGCTGAAAAGCCACTAAACTGGAATTTTGTGAAAAAGTTGAAGGACAAAGTTTGTGGCTGTATAATGCCCTTCAGTACTTCACTTCACTACTTGATTCACTTCCTTTAAAAGATCGTGAATCTACATCAATGAATCAAACTTGATTGCCTTACATAAAATAAGGTTGGATGTGTTTTAAGCTCCAAGTATGAGCCTCTGTTAGGATCCACGTGAATGAAGGCCATCACTTTTGAAGTGTGAGTGCCCAAAGTTGGTCACCTAAATCTTGATTTGGGTACCTGAATTTGCTTCAATGGGAGATGCATGTGCCTGCATCTCTGAAAAATCAAGCCCCTCTTGTTTTCTAAATCTAGATTTAGGTGCTTAGCTTTCGGCACCCATGTTTGAAAGTTTTGGCCTAACTGTGTGTATAATTTTAGATGAAATAGAGCAAATGATTAAAACAGACCATGCTAGCACTAGCATGCAAATTTTATTGATCAGTGAATATGAAAATACAAACCCTTATGTGACAGAACAATGTTTGTAGTTTTGCCTAAATAAGTTACTTATGCCTTTTTTAAATCTCAAGAGGCATAAGTAATGTTAACTGCCTGAAAGTCAAAAGAAGGCTCTTTAAGCTTCGTTTCATTCTGAGAAAAGGACAGGGAGTAATGCATACCTTCTCATAAATATATAACATTTCCTTTAGTGACTTTAAATAGTAACTGATTAGATAAATCAATTGTGATTTAAAGCAGTCACACGTGGAAGGTCCTGTTTCCTTTTGAAATGGCTAGTAGCACCCAGAGTTTGCTGCTGCAAACTAAGCATTTATGGTTGTATTATTTAAAAGAAGATCCTTGAATATTAATGCCATAAGACTCTCTCTAATCAGAGCTCATCGAGCCCTTTACCTGTGCTGTCCACTGGGTAAAATCCACCGGGACTAATGGTCTTGCAGAAATATCAGGCTGTGGGGAAGTGTATCATGGCACCTCTTGAAAAATGCACTAAAACGGGTGCTAGCACCAGATTAATTAAAGCAGGTGAGATGCATGTCCCTGTAGCTCTGAGATTAGTCAAGGCATGGAACTGTTTACATTTTAAAAGCATAACAATTTAGCAGTTGTTCATTTAAGGCAAAACTGTTTCCTGTACCAAAGCAGAACTGGCTCCTTGGCTGCAATCCAAAATTTATTTTGCTCTCAATTTAAGAATTAAAAATGGTTCAGTGGCTTCAGCTTTTTACATTGGGAGGCGAGGGGAGAAAGTGTGTTCCTTTGTTGCAAATATCTTGCATTGTTTGTGTTTTACAGTCTAATACACTAAAGTATATGTATTGTACATGTAACAATGTATTTTTACAAGCAGATAAGATGCTAGTGTACCTCATGAGCTCAATCAATGTTAAATGTGATAGACTAGAACTCAACAGTAAAGGTGATCTCCAAAGTGAAAACCTTATATCTGTATGTGGACTGCTGTGGAGATTACATTATAAAGCAGAATGAAGACATCCTATTGTCAAATAACTAGCATTGACATTTGTTAATAAACTTGCATGCACTACTCTATACTGAAAATTTGTAAGAAATAAAATAACATGTTTATTTTGGTGTGTGTGCAGTAGTTGGAAAATGCTTTTAAATGTTGGTCTAGAGCCCAATAGGATCTGACAGGGGCAACGTTAAATGTGCAATACCAGGGGAACTTTAATATAGTGCCATTACAGTAATTTTCTTTTGGGGGCATATCAAACTGCTTTAAATTAAGATATGCAGCTTCACACTTATCCCCCATTTCCTCTCAGGTCCTGACTAGTCAAACTAACTTCAATTTTATGTGGAGTGATTCTTCCACTTGACAGCACATTCAAACCAAAATATATTACTGCTTGTGGGTTATGCTGTCATGCAGCAACATTCAGCAGGACACAGGTGTTGATACAAGTTTGGTGAAAACTGATTGGTGGAGTCTACGTATAGCTCAATCTTTTAGTTTTAAGTAGGAGACTTTAGGGAATAGATTCGGGGTGAAAGTGGGCCGGTAGTGGCTTGTATAGCCCACATTAAAAAGTGCTGTGGCGGCGCTTTAACGTCGGTACCCCTTCCATGTCGGCGACCCTATTGTCAGGGCCGCCACCAGGGGAGGCAAAAGGGGCAACTGCCCCTGGGGCCGACGATATAAAAGGGCCCGGGGCTGCCGCGGCCAGAGCCCCGGACCCTTTTAAATCGCTGCTGGATCCCTGAGAGGCAGGGGCCAGGCAATGCGGATGGGCTGGCTGGGGGAGGCTGACCCCTTCCAGGGGCTGGAGCTGGCCCCATACTGGTAAGAATTTAATATCACTGTCACCCCTGAATCGGTTTAATCTTTTAAAACTGGCCTGCATTATTCTGCATTTCATTTCTTGCAACACTGTTGCTGACAATACCAGAGCACATCTTAGACCCATTTAAAAAAATCAGACTTGTTTGTTAACATACTGGGTACTACCAATAGCTACTGAGTACCTCTTCCTTATACATGTAGGATCTTATCTATCAGTTGATATGGGAACTGTATTTCTCAACCCAGAGTGGTGGTAGCTGGGTGGACAAGGTTAAAATACACCTCCCTCACCCACCCTGCTTGACTAAAGTTTGAAAATCCATCCTAACGCTACTTACTTTAGTAAGTAAATATCATTAGTTTCACCCTGGGAGTAGGGAAAAGTAGATTGGGCAGTTAGGCGCATGATGATTTTGCAAGGTTCCCTGTATTTAGTTACCTGCAGTGTAACTTGTTTTCTTTCAAGAGTCTCAAATCTGTCTCCGCTGTTCCTTGCCTTTCACATAGAATCACAGAACTTGAAGAGACCTCAAGAGGTCATCTAGTCCAGTCCCCTGCACTCAAGGCAGGACTAAGTATTAACTAGACCATCCCTGACAGGTGTTTGTTCAACCTGCTCTTAAAAATCCCCAATGATGGAGATTTCACAACCTTCCTAGGCAATTTATTCCAGTGCTTAACCACTCTGACAGGAAGTTTTTTCTAATGTCCAACCTCAACTGCTCTTGCTGCAATTTAAGCCCTCTGCTTCTTATCCTAAACTCAGTGGTTCAGAACAATAATTTTTCACCCTCCTCCTTGTAATAACCTTTTATGTACTTGAAAACTGTTCTCCTGTTTCTCCCATCTTCTCTTCTCCAGACTAAACCCATTTTTTTCAATCTTCCCTTATAGGTCATGGTTTCTAGATCTTTAATCATTTTTGTTGCTCTTCTCTGGCCTTTCTCCAATTTGTCCACATCTTTCCTGAAATGTGGTGCCCAGAACTGGACCCAATACTCCACTTGAGGCCTAATCAGCACAGCGTAGAGCCGAAGAACTGATAGTTCCTTCCTAAGTGGAGTACTTTGCATTTGTCCTTATTGAATTTCATCTTATTTACTTCAGACCATTTCTCCAGTTTGTCCAGATCATTTTGAATTTTAATCCTATTCTCCAAAGTGCTTGCAACCCCTCCTAGCTTGGTATTGTCCACAAACTTTGTAAGTGTACTCTCTATGCCATTATCTAAATCGTTGAAGATATTTAACAGAACTGATCCCTGTGGGACTCCACTCGTTATGCCTTTCCAGCATGACTGTGAACCACTGATAACTACTCTCTGGGAATGATTTTCCAACCAGTTATGTGCACCCACCTTATAGTAGCTCCATCTAGGTTGTATTTCTCTAGTTTGTTTATGAGAAGGTCATGCAAGACATATCAAAAGCCTTACTAAAGGCAAGATATACCACATCTACTGCTTCCCTCCCCCCAAGCACAAGGCTTGTTACTCTGTCAAAGAAAGCTGTCAGGTTGGTTTGACACTGTTTGTTCTTGACAAATCCATACTGTTATTTATCACCTCATCTTCTAGGTGTTTGCAACTTGATTGCCTAATTATTTGCTCCATTATCTTTCCAGGTATAGAAGTTAAGCTGACTGGTCTGTAATTCCCTGGGTTGTCCTTATTTACCTTTTTATAGATGGGCACTATATTTGCCCTTTTCCAGTCTTCTGGAATGTCTCCTGTCTTCCACATGCTGAACCTCCTCTTCCACAAGCATCCTGTGCTCCTTCTCATGTCCTCAATTCACTTCTCCCCTCAAAAAAGTGAATTACAGGAGCTGGCTTCTTTGTGGAACTGTAACCTTACAAACATCTACTTGTCCCTGGTAATAGTCTCATTTTACAGTTAGGGAAATTGAGGCAGAACTATTGGGGCATGTCACCCTTAAGTTACAGTGCCTATTCATAGTATAGTTTTTTGATTAAAGGTAGATAAACTTGAGACAGGGCCCTCCCTCTTACATATGAACAACTCAGCATACAAGGCTGAGAGGAAGCTTTGCTGGACAGGAGAACTTACCGAAAAATAGAACAAGCTGACGTTTTAAAAAGATTTATTTAAAAATATTTTCTTCCACTTGTCTGCGTAACCAACATTAATGGGTCCAACCATATCTATGAAAAGACCTCTTGTGAATCAAGGACTTTCATCTAATAACATGGACCAGTTTTTTGGGGGTGTGAGGAGAGGCTATGAAGTCGGCCGCAGTTACTGAAGCACCTCGTCTGTCAGCAAATTGCCTGATTGTTAAATCAGGCTGTGGCTTTGTCTTTCATGGCAGCTTTATATTTGCCCGTCATCTCTTTAGGCAGCGGTACTAGACCAGGGCAGGGAACCTGGCCTTCAATTTCACACATACATTCACGCAGGTGATATTTTTTGGGTCCAAAGGTTGCAGGATGAGAGAGCTGCTTTTTCTCTTGCTCCTCTTTTTTTAGTGTTTCCCTGGAAGAGGAAAAACAATTAGCTATTAAGAAGGCTGGATTTCTTCCTCTCTTCCACCTGCCCCCCACTGCCTAAAAAGAATGGTGATGCATTTTTTTTCATACACCAAGATTTCAAAGGGCAGCATCTCACACAGTAATGGCTGCTAGCAGCCAAACAACCTTTCCAGGACTGACTTGTAGAAAGAATTCCCATTCACTTAGCTTGGTGCAGCTTTACTTTGTCAATAGCACATTTCTGTCAGCCACAGGGGGGAGATCAGGTCCCCTTTCTTCTAAACCAGGGGTACATCAACTCATCTAGATATTTGCCTAGTTTTACAACAGGCTACAGAAAAAGCACTAGCGAAGTGAGTGCAAACAAATTTCATAGACAATGATTTGTTTATACTGCTCTGTATACTATACCCTGAAATGTAAGTACAATATTAATAAATATTCCAATTGATATTATATGGTTCAAAATGAGAAAGTAAGCAATTTTCCAGTAATAACGTGCTGTGACACTTTTGTATTTTTAGCTCTGATTTTGTAAGTAAGTGAGATGAAACTTGGGGGTACATAAGACAAACCAGACTCTTGAAAGGGGCACAGCAGTCGGGAAAGGTTGAGAACCACTGTTCTAAACCTCCTGGTTTAAGAGGCCCTGTCCACTTTCAACCCATCAGGCAGTGCTGTGACATTACAGTTCTATCAGAGACAAGACAATGACTCCTCAGGTTGTGAAGTATGTTTACTTACTCGCTTTTACCCAAGATTTTTTTAATGTGCTCCACTATCTCTTTGTTGCTTTTATCTTCCACATCAACCAAGACTTGCTCACCACTATCTGTAGAGGAAAGAGGTACAGAATAGGTATCAACAGGTGACTACCCAGAAGCGTCTACCATTTCGCATTAGACAGAGTAAATATTTGAAGGCGTAACACACCAGCAAGACAGTCACAAGCAGCACAATGTGCTACCTGTTCCTTGGTCAGTAACCTCACTTTTGTATGCAGCTCTCAAGGATGCAAGCTAAACTGTTAAAGGGGTCTTAGGGTGGGTGTTAGCAGGTAAAACTCAGTTCCCTGTAAACATTATTCCTTTTTACAGATAGGGCAAAGCTAGGAACAGAGCCCAGGTCTTCCAAGTCCCAATCTAATGCACTATCCACTAGGCCACACCGCCTCCCTATAAATGGATCTCATGACCAGAAAGCCATGTGGGAAGCCACAGCCCTAATCCACCAACCTCACGTATGGACTAGTAAAAGAGCCACTGGAAGGTTTTACAGATGCAGCGTATGTATGATGTGAGGTCCTTATTAAGATTACCCTTGTAGTAGATTGTTACTGTTCTGCAGTTATGGAACAAACCCCTACAGCTTAAAATAGTGACACTGAAGTGCTGTGAGCCGGGAACACTGTAAATATCAGCACAACAGGTGAGCCAGCAAGTCTGGAGCACCCACTAGTTGTACAAGGTGCCTCAGGTCTTTGCTCTCTAGGCCCTTTTAAAGGGTGAGATTGCAGTTACCCTTGGCAGTGCCTGGATGTCTGACACCCCCTGAGAATCACAGTCAGTATAAGGTGGCTAAGGCACCCAGCAGCTTGTGGGAGAGGAGAATCTGCTCCGTTAATTTGGGGTGGGGGGGCACGGGAAGGGGTGCCCAGCACTCCAAGATAAAGGCACTTACCTAAATAGAACCTTAGAAACGGCGAAGGGGTCATGTTCTTAAACATCACGATCTGGACCCAGGGGTTTTTGTACTGAATCTGAGGGATGTTGAAAAACACAAATTTTCTAGGGGGGAAAGAAACCAGAGGCTCTTTTAGCGAGCAGGTCAGCGTAAACGCACACAGCCCTTCAGAAGCCGGTAGCAACATCTGCCCCCACCCCCCAGCACAGACAGTGCAATTCACAGCCAGAGCGCGGGGCCCCAGGGATTGGGGAAGAGGGGGGGGGTTAGGCTCTGAAGCCCCTCACCGAGGCTGCACTCACCTGGCCCCCACCCCAGGGCGGGCTACCCGGCAGCCTCCTCTCCCCGCCGCTGCACTCACCTGGCCCCCTCGCTCAGCTGCCCCGCGGTGTTGTAGTTCACAGTCATCACCTTCACCGCGCTCTTGAGGACGATCTCCCCCTGGGTCAGGTACTGCAGGGTCCTGCGGATGGGGAACCGGCCCTTCATCGGCATGGCTGCAGCTGGCAGGGGGCTCCCTCGGGCACAGCCCGCACGCGGCGGGCCCGGCTGCTCAGCCCCGCAGCCCCCAACGCACGGGGGAAATAAGGCGGCTGGGCCCGGCAGGAAGGGAGAGGAAACACGTGCTCTCCGCCCCTGCCGCAGAGCGCGACGGGAGACGTAGTTTCGCTGCCCCAGGCTAGGGAAGCGGAGCGAGAGGATTTGCAGGTGCAATGGTGGGAAGAGGAACAGGGTGTGTGTGTGTGTGTGTGAAAGGAAATAATGCGGGGACCGGGCGATAGGGAGGAAGGAAGAAGAAAAGAATTAGGGGGATGGTGAGTAGAGAGGGGGCATCCCTAAGAGACGGCTGCAGTCTGAGTCACCTCCCTGGCTCTCCTGTGCATCTGTTTGCTTAATGTAGTGACCGGGTAGTGCTTCTTAACTGTTTGTTGTAGGATTGATTCAGCTGCCTGTTCGTATTCACATCACCTCTCATCAGTATTGCTTAGGTCACCAGGTGGGGCTCCATTGAATTAACCCCAGGAGGAGTTGGTGGCCTTAAAAATAAATATTGAAAAAGAAAGCATTATCCAGCCTGGTACATGGGCATCAGAGTTCCCCAGCTGCTGGAGTGAAGAGATTCCATGAGACTTCAGCTTTGTTTCTTCCTTTGGTTTTTTCTCTTTTTTTTTAAAGCAAGCTTTTAGCCCTCTTGGGTGTGAATAAAAGCTTGAAAATGAAGTTGTGCATCTAAGTGCTCAGAAATCAGAAGGCAAATAAAGAGCCTAAAATTTACTATTTTAAACAAATCTTGTTACTTTTGAACTGTTGGCAGGACTTTTTGTGTGTGTGTGTGTGTGTGTATGCACTTGACTCATGATTTTGGAAAAGCTGGACTTGGCAATACTGATTTACTAGTATAGTTGTCAGGGTTCAGTAATTACTACTAGCGGTGGGTTGAAGAAAGGTGACTATAATCAGTGAAAACCACTGAAACATCAAGACCTTGTTTTAGAAGCCAACAGCGTAAATCAATGACAGGTTATGCATGTATGTAGTTAACACACTTGTTTATGGGGAGGTGATCTGTGATTAGAACAGGATACTGGTAGTCAGGACTTGTGGGTTCAATTCTTCTCTCTGCTACTTACTAATTAAGTATATGAACTGTTGAAACCACAGCTACTCTGTGCCCATTTCTCTACTTGCTTAGGTTGTGTGGTTGTGATCTACTTGTTCATAACACACTTTGCAGTTATGTAGCACTTTTTGTCCAACCATTTTGAAGTATTACTAATGTCTAGTAGTTTAACAGTCAAAATTGGTGTGGAAAGGGGTTTAATTCAATGTTATTTACACAATATGAACTTGAGGATTGATACTCTGATCCAGGAGCATTTCCATAGTTGGGTGTGGGCTACTGTCGAATACACAAGCTCCCACCTTTGCCTGCAGTGACTGCGCTACCGATATGATTACAAGCATTTACATGCTATTACAGTATGTGTTCCCTTTGCATGGTTTACAGTAACAGTAATTTTCCCAACTGAGGAGTATGTACTTCCTACTTCTACCCAGCACTGAGCATTAACCTTAGAAAACAGAGCTGGGAAAACCCTGCCATCAGGCGAAGTGCCAAGAGATTCCAGAGCCTGCAATTAGGGGAAAGCTGAAATGAACAAGTTTATTATGGGCTAAATGTGGCCAACAGTCTATTTCTAGCAAACTCCAACTGAAAGGGCATGATAGTGAGAACACCCTGACCTCTGCTCCCATTAACTTTATACTTGGGCCAGATAGTTGAAAAATTCCAGTTCAACATGGGAAATTACAAGAACTTAGACCCTCAAGGGCTTTGGATAAAGAGACCAGCACCTTGAGTGTCTGCTGTGTGGATTGCTAGTCAGTGAAGAGTTGAGCACTGAAGTTGTGAGTAGGACAAACAAGCAGGACTGTACATAAAGTGAGCAGTAGCAGTATTTTTCACAAGCTGAAGCTTCTGAGTTGCCCTCAGCATAGCAGTCCAGCATTGAATAACAAAGATACAGATGACTGTGGCTAGATCTACCTTGGAAGAAAGGAAGCGATATCTTGGCCAGCATAAGACAGATGATGGGGTTTCTAGCTTCTGCTGCTATTTGGGTTTGTATAAATTGAATAAAGTCTGCAAGAATCACCTGAGATTGAGAACCATTTTATAAATGGCTGGGCAGATGTCTTCAACTAAGGAAGTGGTTATTGACTTCCCCAGGTCAATCAGCAATTCACAGACTGAACTAAAAATCTGCCTTTTATCCATGTCCCTAGCTTTGTCAGATACTGAAAAAGAGAAAGGAAACCGCTCCATTGCCATATGAAGGAACAGATAAGGAGCTGAGGATCCTCTGCATATTGATTACCCCACAGACCATAAGCACCTCACAACCTGCCTATGTCTGTCCTGCTATTTTTTGAAGTGTTTTGAGATGTTAGCATGAAAGATGTTATATAAAGTCAAATCCCTTTCTATCTGTCAATAGTGGTTATGAGCAACTGAATTTGCTATTAAGCTAATCCATTACGGACAAGTTGGTTTAGACTTAGAGGAAGAAAGCAGAGAACACTGATACATACACAATATTTTGCAAATATTAGACTAATTCTCTGCTTACAATGTAAATAAGGCAAATACAAGACTTGGGATCACAGCACAGGAGAGGGAGGATGTAGAATTATTTCTGAGGAGATATAGCTTTAAGAGAGTTGGAAGAGAAATATGAAGGAAAGAAAAGCCAGTTTGCAGCTGAAGTCAAGTACAGTGTCCCAGGCATACCATGACAGAAGGCATGAAGTTGAATGGGAAAGGATGAGATGATAGAGACAAGCGTAAGGGAAAACTAGAGAGAATTAAAGAGAAATGAAAGCTGAGATAAATGTAAAATCAAGACTATGTAGGGCCTTGTAAATGAGGCTGAAGAGCTTGAATTTTATGTGAAGCCAAAGGAAAGATCAATGGAGGAGTTAACTTGGTTGGAGCAGGGGAATAGGGAAATTATTCTGGAAGCAGTGAGACCACTCAGTAAAAAGTAATAATTAAGGAAAGAGATGGATCAGGTTTCAGACAAGGATGTAAGCAATGGTTATAGTACAAAAGGGGAGAAATTTGAATATATTAAAGACTATGTTGACTCAGAATTTGTAAGGTGGACATAGATACCGTAGTATGAAAGCCAACATAGGCAGAAGTGACAGGAGTTAAAGAGATGGGAATTTGGAGAGAAGAGAGTCGAAGAGGGCACTGGGTATATGGATCAAGAGGAAAGTGAGGTTGCTGTTAAGTCTGAAAAAAATGACAGTTCTTGCTGTTTTCTATCATTCGGTTGTGTGTCCCCTTCATAATAATGTCCTATTGATGCAAATTGGATTTTGAATACACGCAAGAGTCCAGATTTTGCATTTCATGTCTCCTTTGCATTCATATGGCCACAAAAGGCTCAAAAGCAGCTTGTTGAATTTCTGTTCTTTTTTGAAATATCTGACATGAATACTTATTTTTGTTAGTGGCAAAACATACACCTCTGTCAAATATGAAGAATGAATTTTGTGCTCATAAAAGTGAGGGACCAATTATACTTCCAAGCCCAAGAAAAATCTTGGAGTCTTTGTGGATAGTTCTCTGAAAACATCTGCTCGATGTGCAGCAGCAGTCAAAAAGCTAACGCAATATTAGGAATCATTAACCATAGGAATAGGTAATAAAACAGAAAATATCATAATGTCACTATCTGAATCCATGGTACACCAACACCTTGACTACTGCATGCATTTCTGGTCGTTCCATCTCAAAAAAAGATACATTAGAATTGGAAAAAGTACAGAGAAGGGCAACAAAAATGATTAGGGGTATAGAACAACTTCCATACAAGGAGAGATTAAAAAAACTGGAACTATTCATCTTAGAAGAAGAGACAACTAAGGGGGGATATGGTAGAGGTCTATAAAATCATGAATGATAGGGAGAAGGTGAATAAGGAAGTGTCATTTACCCCTCCACATAACACAAGACCCAGCGCTCACCCAATGAAATTAATAGGCAGTGGGTTTAAAACAAACAAAAGGAAGTAATTCTTCATACAACTCATTATCAGGGGATGTTGTGACAGCCAAAAGAATTAGATAATTGCACGGAAGATAGGTCCATCAATGGCTATTAGCCATTATGGTAAGGGATGCTAGCCCATGCTCTGAGTGTCTCTAAACCTTCAACTGCTAGAAGCTGGGAGTGTATGACAGGGATCAGTTGATAACTGCCCTGTTCCGTTCATTCCCTCTGCAGCATCTGGCATTGGCCACTGTGTGAAGACATGATACTGGGCTAGGTGGACCATTGGTCTGACCCAGAATACCAATTCTAATTTCCTAGGTTAAATATAACTCTCAATAAATAATCTCATATGCTTTCAGATGGGAACTCTGAGAAGCCACAGAAAGATGAATATCTTGAGTGTCAAATCTTGCTCAACTTGTTCATAGGCATGAGTAAGGTGAAGAGGATTTGGGCCTTTTTATTAGAATAGTTTAAATGATCACTCCAAAAGGATACTTTTATCCAATGGAGAGAAACTATCAAATTGTTTCTTTCTGAAGACAGGCGTGACGCTGGTAAGATAAGTGCCGGCCTGGCCAAGGCTATAGGTGTTAGCTAAGAACAGACAAACTCATAGCTAGAAACCAGACCAGCTCACCTGTATGTTAGTTTTGTTCAAAACAGGTATTAGTCTTATAAGAATATATTTAGCATTTAGACTCTATGAAATGTTTGTAAATTGCTGCATCCATTAATCTTACTTGTAATGTCTGTATTCCATGCTACAAATAAAATATAAAAGTTTGTTTTATAGTTGTAAAAATGCCCACTCTGAACTTATGAATTCAGATGAGAAGAGTGGCTTCCCCCACCCATCCAGGAGGACTATCAAAATATAAGTGGGCCATTGTAGAACAAAAACTTTGTTGATTGCCCCATCCACCCATGGAGAAGTATGTGTAGAAGGCATCATCTCATTGGTGTGAATGCTGGAAGAGGAAAAGAAAAATAGCTAACATGCAGGTTTTTTAACACTTTGCTGTTTGGACTCTCACAAGGGCTAGAGCTAAGAAACAAAAAGGAGAGAT